TAAATAGGTCTAAAAAAATGTAAACGAAAATAGAAGCCGCACGCCCGAAAATAAAGCTCGTACTAAAAATTTTCCAGCATACCCGGTCGGGTAAACCCATGTACCTGGTCGGGTATTTCATCCAGAGTGTTTTCTCGCACGCTACCCGGTCTGGTAGCCAGGCGGGTGTTCTTCACTGACAACATACCCAGTCGTGTAAAACACCTTACCCGGTCGGGTAAACCACCTTACTTGGTCGGGTATCACTTCCAGAGAGTTACCAGATCGAAATCTTCCTCATACCCGGTCGGGTAACCTAACATACCCGATCAGGTATCTGCTGTTGGATTCAAAACAAGGCTCCATCTTCAACAATCTCCCACTTGGAGGCTTGTTCAACAATCATCTGCCATCCAAGAACATGTATCCTCTGCAACAAAACCCTAATCTCTCTCTCTCATTCATGCCTTCTCATCAAGTATCTGGAAGGCCAGTTGAAGCCATTCATAGCTTCAACTTCTCCGTTGTCACCGCCTTGGTAAGCATGTCTGCTGGATTCTTCATACCAAGGATCTTCTTCAAATTTATAGTACCATCTTCAATCAACTCTCGGATGAAATGATACCGCATCTTGATGTGTTTCGTTCTGCTGTGAAACATCGGATTCTTTGCGAGATGGATAGCACTCTGGTTGTCACAAAACTGACAACAATCTCCCTGCTTCATGCCCAACTTCGAAAGGGAGTTCTTCAACCAAATCAACTTTTTGCCCGCTTCGAAAAGGGCCATATACTATTCTTCTGTGGTTGAAAGAGCCACACTCTTCTGTATTATGGACATCCAACTGATCGTTGTACCTCCAATAGTGAACACATACCCCGTAGTGCTTTTCCTGGAGTCATAACAGCCCCCCAAATTAGCATCTGCAAATCCTTCTAGGATTATACCATTCCTCCTGAAACAAAGGACAGTTTCAGAACTAGAACACACGAATTACGTGGTTCACACAATCGGGGTGATTGTGTTAATCCACGGTGAACGAGAGAGAGCAATATATTATTATGTCGGCGCGTCATGGTTTACGAGTACAACAGAGATGTTTAAATAGGTCTCAACAAACCTAAACGAAAATAGGAGCCGCAGCCCCGAAAATAGAGCCCGTACTAAAAATTTTCCCGCATACCCGGTCGTGTAAACCCATGTACCCGGTCGGGTATTTCATCCAGAGTGTTTTCTCTCACGATACCCGGTCTGGTAGCCAGGCAGGTGTTGTTCACTGACAACATTCCCGGTCGGGTAAAACACCTTAATCCGGTCGGGTATCACTTCCAGAGAGTTACCAGGACAAAATCTTCCTCATACCCGGTCGGGTAACCTAACATACCCGGTCGGGTATCTGCCGTTGCATTCAAAACAGGGCTCCATCTTCAACAGCTGATGCGTGGCAACAAGGCGGCAACGACGAGATGTGTGCGGCAGCTGGTGCCCAACATCGGCCAATCTAGTGGCCTGGTGCTCCCTAGCCAGATCTGGTGCTTTTACGACGTGGCTACGAATACAAGGGTCCAGTTTGAGATATTCCGTATGTGCGTACATCAGGCCTAGCGTGAGTTGTTATTTGGGTTGGGTAAGAGCATTTAATGTCATTTAATCACTTTGATGTTCAAAATAAAAACAATCATATTTGTGTTAATCATACCTCTAATAGTAATATTAGGGTCATTATTTCTTTAATTTTTATTTCTTCCCATAACGTTTGCACCAGAAATGCCTTCTGTTCTATCGCAACAAAAATGGCTTCTGTTCTGGTCGCACCAAAACGGTTCTGAATCTTTATTTCCCAACGTTTAACTCCTTTAATGCAGCTTTAAATGGACAGTTTTTTGACATGTTAATGTCCAACGTTCAATTCTAGTCATTTATGTCGAACGTTCACGTCCATTAAATCTCACTTAATGCACAACAAATCCATTTTTATATATAGCTGACAGGTACTTTGCAACCACACACGACACAACACAGTTTTCACATGCTTTTGAGCTAAAATACACCTCCAGCTCTCTGAAATTTCCTCAGTGTTCTCACTCTGTTTCCGTTCGTCGGAACAACTTATTGTGTGCTCATACGGTTGTTCGTAGCCACCAAATCTTGTGAAACTATCGCTGCAACGCTCCTAGTAGTGTGGAATGCAACGAATACATTTTAAAGAAATTGTGCGTTGCACATGTTTTGGCTTTTTGTCTCTTCTTGTTTCTGATTTCTTGACTATTTATTTATTTAAATAATTTCTTTATTTTCCGGTTAAACACGCATTTTCACCCAACATTATTTGCCATGCCAGTTTGTCAATATTTAATCGAAAACAAACTTGTGCAGTAGTATTGGCATTAGCCTTACTATTGAAAGACTAATTAGAGTAATTTAGGTAAGTGTGAGTATCTGAAATATTGGCTTTTCACCTCACAATGGCTTATGTTCAAGGATTGCATGTGGGTGGGTGAGGGGGGGAGGGGGTGAGAATATTCACCCATTCACTACCTAGGTAAAAAATCATAGAGTAGTCACACAAAGATTCCACACAATAGGAAAAACGATCAAATTAATCATATGTGAAACTAATTAATATGCATAGTGACACTATTGCCTCTTACTGAGATACAGGTTTAGTATTTACATTGTTGAAAAAATGGTTTGCAAATTAATATTCTGATCACTTTAGAGCTAAAATATGTAAGGACCTACTTCTCATTGTTGGAGATATTTTAATTGTGAATCAAGTTTGTCATAAATTAGCTTTATTATTATTCCTTGTATTAAATTAGTGCATGAATTAGATAGAATGTGGGCCAAGTGTTAGGCCCATATAACCAGGCTAAAAGCCTTTCACGCCTAACCTAAACCTCGCCTATAAAAAGGGAGCCGAGGGTTTAGGATTAGGTTAACGTCGTACTTATTCACTATAGCCTTACGCGCATATCTTTATGTGTACGAGTTCACGGTCTATCAAAGAGGGTTTTACATTGATTCAATCTGTGTTCATCTTTACGTTTAATCTTCTTTGTTAGATTGTTATTCATTGCTGTTACAGAAACAGGGACTATCAGTTGGTATCAGAGCCGATCGAGAGCCGATCAGAAGAACGCCTGCAGAAGACTATGTTTTTCTTTACGTTGTTCTTACTGTCGATATTTCACTCTGTAATCTTGTTTCTTGTTCAAAAGTTGTAAAAGTTACACCCTTAGAATCGTTGTTTCAAAGCGATCAAGGGGTATACTTCAGATTTCGTTTTACGCATATTCTGTACTTGAGATATTTCGAGTAGCCCTTGTCGACATCTAGGTTTTTAACAGGTTCTGCTACGTTTTTCGAGCTGAAAACTTTACCTGAGGATCTCGACATTCTACTCTACAGGAAACTACCTTCAGATTTTGCTTATCTGATTTTTACAGTTTGCAGGATTTCGACATTGAGGATTTCGACATCTAGGATTTCGAGATCAAGATTTCGAATATAAGGTCTCGACATCTGGTCTCGACATTTGATTTCTCAAATTAAGATTTCGAGTTTTAACTTCTCGACATTTCAAATCTCGAGATCCTCTTCTCGAAATTTGAAATCTCGAGATCCTTAATTTCGAGATCCTAATCTCGAGCTCAAATCTCGATACCGGGCCTCCTTTATCGAAATCCTAGATCTCGATATTCAGATCTCGACATCTGATTTTTCGACATTCTGCCTCTGAAAATCTTTTGATCAATTATCTGGAACGGTCAGTTTAATACAGCAATGACCTCAGAATTCAATGCGCAAGGGAACAACAGTACTCCTCCCAGTCTCAGGAAGGGAGAATATCAAATGTGGAGGAATCGATTCCTTAATTTCCTTGAGCACAAAGAGAACTCCGCTGCGATGCTTGAATCTTTGCTTGAAGGACCAGCTGAACTCATGATTTCAGTTGGTGGTGATCCAGAAAACAATCCTCCTATTCTTCCAGAAATAAGGAGGAAAGTGACATCTGAATACACGGAAGCTGACAGGCTCAGGCTTCGTGGTGATCTCATGGCCAAAACATACCTTCTTCAAGCAATTCCCAATGAAGTATACGTTCTCATAGATAGCATGCAAACAGCTAAGGAAATGTGGGATGAAATAGAGAAACTGCTTCAAGGCACAAGCATTAGCCTTAAGACCAAGAAGACGACAATTCTTATTGCTTATGACTCCTTCAAAGCAGGTCCAGGAGAACCATTGAATGAGACTTACAACAGACTCGTTCAGCTGGTCAATGAACTCAGAAAAATCAAAGTATTCAGGTCCAATCTGGAACTGAATATTAGATTTCTATCCAGCCTGCATCCTGCATGGGAAAAGACAGTGAAGGATGTTAGATCTCGGATTGACTTAGACGAAATTGACCTCTGCCCTCTATATGAACACCTGAAGCAATTTGTCAATGAGGTTGCTTGTGCCGAGGATCATCACACCACAAATCCCTTAGCTCTTGTGATGGAAGCTCAGCCCAGAAGGACAACCACACCACTGAAGAAGAAAAAGAAGAAGGTGGTGGTTGAATCAGACGATGATGAGAGTGATGAAGACAAATCTGATCTGGAGGCTGAGCTTGCAGACTTACAGAAGAAGATGGCACTGCTTGCCAAGAGATTTGCTAAGAAGAACAGCTCCTCCAACAAGCTGAGAACCTCCTCCTCAAACTACAAACAGAAGAACCATGATCAAGGATCTTCTAGGAAGGCACCATCAGCCGAAGATGCTCCCAAATGCTACAATTGTGGTAAGGCTGGAAATGTCATCAAAGACTGCCGCCTCCCAAAGAAGAAGGATGCTAACTTCTACAAGCAGAAGATGCTGTGGAATAAGCAGAAAATGCTGATGGTACAGAAAGAAGATAAAACTTCTGCAATGATTGCTGAAAAAGATAACTGGGCAGAAGATTCTTCTGAGGAGGAGGAGGAGGAGGAAGATAACTATGCCCTGATGGCACGAGTGGAGGAAGAAGAAGAAAGAAAGGGTGATGCTGCGATCCCCGAAAGTGAATGTTCTACAAGCTCTGTAAGTACCTCTCATTCTCCTTTAAATAACCAAATGCAGTCCTTACTTGAGAAGGACAATCTAATTAAAGAACTAAAGGAGAGACTAGACAATAATCACAGGGTACTGAAACAGAATCTAGACCAAAAGTCTTCTTTAAGTGTTCAATTTGAAATTGCAAAAGATCAGGTCAAAAAGGTGTCCTCAGATTTTGAAAGCTTTGAACTTAAGATAGCTGAATTAACTAGGAAATTTGAGGATAGTGAACGAGAAAAAAGCACAGCAAAGGCTGAATGCGATTTTTTGCATAATAAGAGAAGAACACTTTTAAACAAAGTAAAAGAACTAGAGGATCTAGCTGCTAGAAGAGGTCAGTCTGAACAGACAATTTTTCTTAATCGAATAAAGGATGACCGATTCTACAATCCTAGAATAGGGCTGGGCATAAAAAACCCATGTAATCTAAAGAAAGTTAACTGTCTTCAAATCTATAACAAAGATTACATGGGACTAGGGTTTGGTGAAAAAATGTATTTTCGAAGTGATGAAGAAAACGCTGAAGCAGAAGAAGAAAAAAGAAAGAATCCAAAATCTGCGATTTCTTGTGATTATCCCTCTGTTAATGAAAAACAACTTTCACAAGAAAAATCTACTTCCTGCTTTAGTGAATGCCTTGACCCTTATGCAAAAGATATTCCACACATAGGACATCCTCTAGATCCACCCCAAGAGTAGGTATCGCTAAAACTGGAGAGGAACCTTGTATTTTTCCCATGGCTCAAAAACTCAAAAACTTACAGAAAACTCTTGATAACTCTTGATACCTGCAAACCAAATTCCTTCAATCTAATCAAACCGATGATTTTCATATGCTGACCCCCTGCTTCTACAGTTTATAATGGCAGGAACAACTCAAACGCAGATCGATGATGCCATCTACCCCAAGGGGAAATGGATCAAGGTGCTGGACAACAATTTCCATCTAGACCTTACAGTGTTCAAGTGCCAGAACCCAGTGGTTCCAGCAATCATGAAAGGTCACTATCTCTGGCCTGCACTTCACAACACAAAACCAGTGCCAGAGATATACCTACAACAGTTCTGGGGTCATATGCATACGGAATCACCGAAGGATCGCTCAAAGAAAAAGACCAAATTGAACGGCATGCGGGTGATTCTGACACCATCCACTCTACGGGCTACTCTAGCGCTGCCAATCCATGACGAGTACGATGCGTTGCCGTCCATCCCAGATCTACTCAAAGACGTGGCATCCCTAGGCTACACCTCCTTACTGCCACAGCTCTCAAACTTCAACGGAGCATATCTTCATCATCCGTGGAAGAGCCTCTTCGGGCTGGTGAACAAGTGCCTGTCGCCTAAGCATGCCGGATTCGACAAGTGCAACAAGCAGATCCTGCTCATCTTTCATGGCATCGCTTTCAACAAGAACTACGACTTGGCATAGCTCTTCTTCTCAGAGCTAATGGACCTGGTCAAAGCCAAAGAGAAGAACAGACCAAGTACCATCCCATACGCAAGATGGTTCGGGCTAATCATAAACGACTGCATGGCAGAGCACTCTTCGATCCCAAAACGGAGCTCATATTCACACTACAATGCCCCGAAGCTGCAGTACTTCAAAGCAGATAAGAATCCTGTCTTCGGTCTGAGGATCCCTGGGTTTCTGCTCAACCTTGTAAAATCTTCAAATCCAGCAGTTCAGCAGTACAAGGAAGCCACTGAGAGAACTGTCCCTATGGTTCCGCAAAACCCAGCTCGACCTACCCCGGGGACGAAGTCGAATGTAGGTAAGGGTCCAACGAGAGCCCAAAAGCCACAGAAACCAGTGGCCGGTTCTCCCAATGAAGGAAAGTCTGACGACTCTCTAGAGACGAGTCAGGCGGCTGAGGGCACCGAAACAGACGCTGAGGAAACTGCAATGAATCGTCAAGTGATGCCCAAACAAATACTGACGATGAGGCATCCGAGAGCGTGGGCACAGATAGCGAGGAATATGGCTCGGACGATGATGACGACAATGACAGTGAAGATGTTGACCACACATATGCTTTGATCCGAAAAGGAAAGCTGCCTGTTGAATCTCCACAAAAGAAGAGGATAAATGCTGAAGACGCAGCACCGATAATAGCAGGCAGACCCCCAAGTCTTCACTATCAAGGAGCTAGCTAAACCAAGAGCCGATCCCAGCGAAACAAACTGCTCTAAGGATGACTACGACGAAGCAACTCATTCGATAAAGAATTCTAAAGACGTTGTCATCCGGGAGAAAAGGGCCAAGATTAAGAATGACAAAGCTAAGTCAAAGCCCCAGCCCCGAGTCAGAAAGAGTCTAATTGATAAGGCAGACGAGCACATCTTCGCTGGCTGGGATACCTTTATCCAGATAAGCCGAGCTGAATCCTTAAGTACAGGAGCCGATCTTTTCGGTTCCCGGGTAGAAGTCGCAGCATCTGGCTCAACTGCGCAAGCACAGCCCTCACCCAGCCACTCGATAGCCTCTCAACAGGTTATTGTTTCAAAAGAACGGGACTCAACCCCCTCACTGGTTCCTTCCGAATCAGTTAGCGTACAATTGACCTATCTCCCGAGGTCAAAACCCCTTCTTCAAGCACATTGAGTCTAGGTGTCACATTCCCCACATTTTCTTCTTTTCCTAGGACCCCTACACTATTCACTTCACATACAGGTGCACACACCCTGAAAGCAACAACCAGAGCGCAAGCTATGACGGTTGGAAGCCCTGCTACGCCCTCAATGATTCCATCATTGCACGCAAGCCACACATCAGCAATCTTCACTGATGCTGTGACAACAGTTACAACCCCGTAACTGGTCACCCAACCTTTGAAGACGTAAACGTTCTACTAAATCGCTTCCTAGATTCCACCATTAAACCATGGGTGCAAGATGCAATGACCGCTCTAGCATAGGAATTTAGGACCACCCAAGCGGTTCGGTCTGAACAAACCCCACCCCAACCCTCACCTGAACCTTTCATTTACCATACACAACCCGTATCCTCCACCCCTCTATCTCACCAATCCATTAACCAAATACCCATCCCTTCACATTCTCGGGGAACCCATGATACAGAACTAGTATTCTCCCCACGCCCGACCACACCCTCCATCGATCTCTCCTCACTATCCTTCGACGCCCTTGCATCGGCTTTGCTGGACAACCTTCTAAACATCCCCGAAGCCAAACTTACCCTCCCCCAGCAAGCCATTCTTGATGCCCTCCTTTCTTCCCCCGAAACCAAGAGCAAATGCAAGGAGAGTCCTCGTGGTCGCAAACGTTCCCATGAGGATCCCGATGATTCGGATCCTCATGAGGGGGAGAACAAGCGCCCACGATCACTTGAGCAAACTGCTTTACCTCGCCAAACTTCACAGCCCATCCAACCCGAAACCTCCACAAACCAACAGCCACCACCCGTAGCCAAAATATCTAGCCTGGTCGAGCTAGACTCAACATCCCGAGGCGTATCCCCTAGAGATACCAACCGAGGAGGGGATGGAAGTCCTGATGATGTTAGCACTGGTACATCTGTTACATCAGGCCATCAGTTAGAACCTAGTTCTAAACTGATGTCAACGGGCAATCCAAGTGAACCCGGTTGTGCTACCCAGGAACAATCACCGCCTCAACAGCAGCAAAGAGTTCCATACATTTCCCCAGACAAGGACATCCACGATGCACTGGAGGAGGCGGTGATATATGATAAATGGCCAAGACAATGGACAGAATGGGATTATCTTCGCAATGAGGCCGAGATAGATGACATGCAGAGAAATTGGTGGCTACGAGAGCTAATCAACAAATGTACTGAAGATATCATCAGGCTCGAGGACGATGAACGAAAGGAAGGGGAGAACTACAAGGAATCCCAGAAAACTCTTAAATCCGTGGTGAGACAATCAGCGGGAAGACTTCCCAAGACAGAGAAACCCTGGGACAACGTTAGAATCAAAGCCCCCTTCCAAGAGGAAATCAGAGAGCATATCTGGCGTAGACCAGACAAAGTCAAACCGTTGACTGAACTGAAGCTAAGAGGCCTTACCCATCTAAAAGGAAAGCAGACTGGAGGTCATTTACATATGCTATTACAAAGGTCAACCGGTACTCAGAGAGAGCTGATGGAACAAGACTTGAAGTCCAACATTCTCCCGATTCATCAAATTCTACAAGTGAAGGCTGAGGATTATCACGGAGTGACATTCTATTCCTACAGGCTTCAACGCACTGACGGGAGTGAATTTACTTGCCATGAGAATGATTTCATCATGCTTAAACCCGACGACATCTATCAAATGTTCATGGCCTATAGATGCCTTCCAGTCAGGCAGAGCAAAACATACAGCGAAGGTCTTGCAGCAATCAAGAGATTCATGCTCAGACAGATCAGAGTACATTCTTCACATGACCTACAGATGGCTATTGAGGGCAACTTGACAAAGACAAACCTTACAAAGCCAAGACTGTATGGTCCAGAACTCGAAGACTTCCCAACTTACCACATCTTCTTCACACCGCCAGCAGTCACTTACCTCAACCACAACAACAAAAAACGTCTGATGGTGGTCAATGAAATTGAGAAGTACTGTGACGGAACGCTGAAGATAATCAAAGAACAACTTCTAAAGATGAAGGCACAACTAGAGGAAAATCTTCAGGAGGCATCGTCATATGTTCAAAAGGAACACTCTACAGTAGAGATAATTTTAAAGGCCATCGACGATCGCCTAGAAAAGAGAAATATGCTGAGGCAATACGAGCATGCACCGAATATGAGGAAGCACTACTTCAAGTCACAGAAGCAATAACAAAGTGGCACTTGATCACAAAGGGGAGATTGTTGGAGATATTTTAATTGTGAATCAAGTTTGTCATAGATTAGCTTTATTATTATTCCTTGTATTAAATTAGTGCATGAATTGGATAGAATGTGGGCCAAGTGTTAGGCCCATATAACCAGGCTAAAAGCCTTTCACGCCTAACCTAAACCTCGCCTATAAAAAGGGAGCCGAGGGTTTAGGATTAGGTTAACGTCGTACTTATTCACTATAGCCTTACGCGCATATCTTTCTGTGTACGAGTTCACGGTCTATCAAAGAGGGTTTTACATTGATTCAATCTGTGTTCATCTTTACGTTTAATCTTCTTTGTTAGATTGTTATTCAACAGGGACTATCACTCATGATTAATGTGACTAAGTCTTAACATATTGTACCACTACTTCATGAGGTGAATGCGAAGACCCGCATTCGGAGAGCGTGAAATTACACTTCACGCGCCCGCTGCCACCGTCGTCCGGACGGGTCGGATTGGGTTACGGGTACAAGTGGGTACCTGCATGGCTTTAAGACTTTTTTTGTACAAAATATTTTCGCATAAATGCAACTTTAAAAGAAGGGTCGTCACTTTTTGAGATTGTGTCTTCTGGCCGGAGCACTATAAATTCCATTAGGAGGCCCGCAGGTTTTTCACTTAACATATTAGTATACTACTACATGTACAAGCCTTTTGTAACAGTCAATTTCGTTACTATCGGTCTAAAAGTCTGTTACAATCTTCTCAATGTAACAGTTTTGTGTTGTTACAATCGCACACGTTGCCTTTTCTCTAATGTAACGCTATGTAACGATTTTTAAAACCAATTCTAACACTCTTCTCGACAAACCAAAAGTGTTACCATAGATTAAGTGCAATTGTAACGGTGTTTAACCTACACAAATGTAACACCTAATGATCATTAGGTAACAAATGCCACATTTAGTTATTGTCTAGCTAATGTAATAGTTTTACACACAAATGCAATAGTTTTACATACATTGAGGTCAATACGTACTACATGTACATAGCGATGTACTATTATCATGATCAACGCTTGCACTCTAATCAAGTTAGAACTCATTAATGAGAAATATTTTCATTGTGATTGGGAAACTAATTTAGAACTAGTATAAATAAATCCTCCTACTTCACAATTAATAGACCAGTTTTCAAATTCAGTAGTACTACTTATTTCCCTACGAAGAGATCTTCTAGTCATTCTCTTTGAGATATCTAACTGTTCTTTCATATATAACAGGAGAAATCACATGGATGCTTAAGGTCACTATTATCACCGCTAGGGTGAAAGATCTGTAATAGTTGGGGAAAAAGATTTGATTTAACCGAACAAAAAATTGGTAGTTTGGTTTGGTTTGAGTTTACTTATGTAAACTATTTGGTAACAATTTTCCCAAACCGAATGGTTTGGTTTGGTTTAAAACCAAAAAATAGTAAACCGAACCGAACACCGAACAATTTGAAATATATATAAAAATACTTTGTATATATTTATTTTACTCTTCATCTTTAGGATATTAATAAATAATTTAGATATAAAAATACATGCTTAACATATATCATATTAACTTTTACACATTTCACACAATCATTATGACAAATTTAACTAATACGAAATATTTGTATTTGTTATATTTTATACTCTACTTGTATGAAAAAAAGATGTTTAACGATAATAATAGCAAATTGCATTTATATTTTTACTATGATTCAGTTGAATAAAATTATGGATTTTATAATATTTGTACCACCTACTTTTTTAGAACAATCGAACAAGACTTCACAACATTTAAATGGTGATTGAGGAGCTTAAATATCAAGGGATCAGGAAAAGCCCCTTCAGAACAACACATGCGAGAAGCAAAGAAAGGGTTGGGCTAAGGGATGCAACAGAGGCCCAACAAAGAATGAAAGGGCTGCCTAGCCCTAAATGGGCCAATACTTTAACATTATTCTTGTTCGATCGGTCCAGACAGTGCCCCATCCGGCCTCCGTCGTTTGAGACGGTTCTCGATGGTTTTTTTTGCTGAATTTTTTATGTATGTTCTTCATCAAGTCTAGTTTATTAATACTAAATTTAAGCTAAAAATTCAATCGGGAAGGCGATCAAATGATTTTTGGAAAAAAATAAAATAAAAATTCAAGGAAGAGAGCGGAAGAGGCTAGGTCATCCTAGGGTTTTTTTGGTGCGGCAGTTCTATTCGTCTGCAGGGTTTTGTTTCGCAACAGGGGATTTCTTTTTCGCAGCAGGGGTTTCGTCTGCGGCAGGGATCCGCTTCGCAGCAGGGTTTCGTCCGCAGGTCGGCAATAGAGATTCGAAGCTGCAGGGATCCGTCCGTAGTGTTACTTCACACACTGTTCATACACAACGAGGCTTCCTCTCGGCGCGATGGGATCCAACAGATTTCATGCGAGGCAGCTGATAGCCGTTATATTTACTTGTGTTTAACATAAGTATTTATAAGTATTTGTTGAAGAAAAGAAGAGAAATTGGGAAAATATCTTGAGAATGAGAGTTAGAGCATTAAACATTGTGATGAACAGCTTTTGGGACCAAAAGGATGACGTTTTGCCCATCATTTGAGTATAACGTATTGTAGAGAACTCGAAATCACTCCATTCGAATTTCATGTGAATGGTAACTCAATAAGGTACAAATGTTATGAAGACATCATGGCCAGAATAGGAAAGGAACAATACTCAATCAACCGATAAAGTCAGATGTTGCTGGTGGGATTTCAGGATGCATACCTCTCAGTATTTTATCCATATCTGTTGATTGGATGAATAAAATCACGTCATTCAAGTTGTGTTGGATAGAAGACTTCATTATCTACAACTTTAGTGAAGGAATCATGTCCAAATTCGTAGCGGACCATCTCCAAAATCCCGGTACAAAAACCGACACTTTTTGATCCATTTCAGAGAAAGAGAAATGGAGTATATTTTTGGGCGCAGCAACCGGCGCCGGTCGGTCTTGAACCGGCACCGGTCGGAACGTTTTTTCTCGCACAAATGAGCTTGTTTTCAACCGGGGCCGGTCATCTGACCAACCGGCGCCGGTTGGGTCGATTTTCAGCTAAAAAACAGCATCGTGCAAGCTGATTCTTGATGGGAAACCCCCATCTTCCTCAATGCTAATCAAATATTGCTTCCATACCTCATTGTTGGGTTCGAATAGAATAAAAGATGTCATTCTTTAGCCTATATAAAGCCCTCAATTCATCATACAAACACATTCCATTCCATAGATTAATTCTTAGCTTTTATATTTTTGTTCTTAGTATTTTCTTCAAGTTCTTGAGGAGGGAAGTTCATCCTCCGAAATCATTGGTGTTTAGGTATTATTTCCTTTGTAATTTCATGTTCCATTAATTTATTATTGTATTGTGATTAATATGAGCATTAGAGGCTAATTTCTTAGCTAAGGCTAGGGATGAACTTCTATGCCCACTAGGTGTTTGATAAAAGTTCTAAACCAATAAATTGTGATTTATCCTTTATATATTGATTGTTTATGACTATGGTGTACAACATAGAAGTATGTTAAATTTAGTTTATACTTGCAATTAACGTTGCAGTCTAAACTATGAACACTAAAGGATAAACATATATAGTACCGAGAATAGAAATATATCCGGTCTTATATGATACGGGTATGATGTCTTGATATTCAACGGGGGTTTCGGTAGATGAATGTAAGCCGTAACGGGACTTACACGTAACGAAAACCACGCTCTCGCTGCCTTAACCGGAGTTGAGAATATATTAGCGACATCGTATTCATAATTATTGGCAAAGAACTAATATTCAACCCTATTTAAGCATTTAAGTGATTCCCGAAGCCTTAGTTGTTGTTATCATTTATCTTGAACTCAAAGTTAGTTAACAATTATCTTGTTGAACAAAAAGTGAAAAAACCAAAAATATAAAACACAAATCAAAATCCCTGCACTTTATTCAATTCTTCATTTAAAGTTATCTACTCTCGGACTTGAATTAAACAACGTTTCCTTGTGGATTCGACCCGGTATTTTACCGGAATTTATTACTATATCGGCACTTGTACACTTGCAAGTTTAGCCCGATCAGCAGCGATCAAGCACGGCGTTGTTTCGACAGAAAAATGCGAGCCCCGATTTTCCGATGTTTGGTTTGGTTATTTTGGCTTTGAGGGTAATTCAGATGGGAGCCGCACTAGTTGTGTTCGATCCGGGTGGAACGCTAGTGGTATGGGTCCCGGTTAAAGGGGGCGAATTTGGGCTCCATTCAAATTTTGGGGGATTAGCGCGGTTATTTTGGCCGCCTCAAGTGGTGGAGGAAAAAGATGATATGAGGATGATTCGTCCCCCTCCTGAACTGCCGCCACAAAAGAATTGCGTGACTCGGGCCTGGAAGTTCCCGTTTGAAGAATGGATTACATGGCTCCACCAGCTGAAGTTTATTTATTTTTGCTATGTTCTGTTTGTTAATCTTTACTTTGTTTTTATTAGGTCAAATAACATGGGTGGTAGTTTCTTATATGGGCTTACCTTAGTTGCTAGATTTCTGTTTAGAGGCAATCAGGCTGACTCAGCCGCTAATAGCCTCAAAGCTCTCACATTGTCAGCGACGAGTCTCGCTCTGTTTGGGGTGGACTACTCTATGTCTAATAAAGAAGCGAGGGGCCAGTGGGCTTATGGGTATGTTTGTCTAGAGGGAGATTCATGTCGGGTGATTACTTTTGTTTTCCAGTTCTTCTGATTGTACTGCGAGTTTTTGAGTTAATATAATATGCCAGTTTCCGATCAAAAAAATGCTTTTTGGAAGATAAATGCGTTTTATATGTATATAAAGGGCGAAGTTAACTTCCAAAAATCATTTAATTTGAATGACTTTCCGGTTGAATTTTTAGCTGAACTTTGGTATAGATAAACAAGACTTGACGAAGAACATGCAAAAACATTTCGGGAACCGCCCCGAAAGGCGGAGGCCGGACGGCGCTCATGTCAGGAAATTCCGGATCGCTAAGAACTGACAGCAACCGCAAGTAGGGCAATAGGCAGCGCATCGCTAGTGCCTAGTTCGCTACATCGCCTATACTCGATCTGTTTAGTCTTTCAAAGTTCAAAAAATCAGGTTGTTTCCCTATTTTTTAACTCTGGTTGAAATTATTTTGATTTCTTGATATTATGGCTCCAGGAATGAAAAAGTATGAATCTAGTCATGAAAAGCTGAAGAAAAAAAGAAAAAGAAGAAAAAGTTGAAGCATTCATAAAATCTCAAGCCGGAGCTCTTGATAAATTTATCAAAAAAGACCCGCAAGTTTCTGTTGAAAATCAAAGTTTTAATGTGGTTGGCTTTGGTGATGTAGTAATTTTGAATTATCTATGCATTTCATTTAATAAAAGGACTCATTTGTGTGATTCGCACCGGATCTCTTATTGTGTCAAGCCGGCCCTGAAATGCAAAAATAAAACTATCATATAAAATAGACACATTCACTCATCATTGGGAAAATTTTATACTTTCAATGGAACCCGCAAATAACTCCTATTTTATCGGAGGCTAAAAGTGTCTGTCTCACTATAATGTGCAAAAAAAGAAAATTAATTATTAAAAATGTCATTGTTATTGTATAAAATAGTCTGAGAGAATCACATTTTGAGGAATACAGTTACTATTAGAGTTGACAAATATTGAAATAAATGTACTATTTATAGGAACATACTAGTAAATTGCACGGGCGTTGCCCGAATGTAATATGTCCAACTCTCAACTTCAATGAATTTGTAAAATGTGATCAACATAAGTGTCCATGAAAATGTTATTTTTATGAGCTATATACCTTATCATGTATTAAGTTCACAAATAATGAGATGTAATTGAGTTGAATGGTGTTACTATAAACAAAGATAAAGTAAATAAAACAATATCAATATTATTAGTGTGACCGTATATATTTAATTTAAATAAACAAATTAACAGGAGTTTAGGAGCCATATATAGTATATCTGAAAAAATATCATGGCAATTTTAAAAAAGAAAAGTAAAAAGTAAATATACAGTATCCTTGAAAAACACATCAAAAAAGTACAATTAAAAAATGAAGCAAAAAGTGTAGTTAAAACGCAGTAAAAATGCAGAATTTGAAAGCAAGTGTAATGATATAATCTAGAGAAGTTAATTTAGTCTCTGTTTCATATGAACTTGCGGGACTGTTTAATCATAACCCAAGTCTTGACGAATATAAAATATACAAGGATAATGAAGAAAAATGTAGGGGAAAGAGCAGCAAAAGACGCAGGAAAAAATCACAATCCAAGTGTTAATATATATGAATGTAGAAAAAACGCAGCAATAGTGGAGTAAAAATACGCAGGAAAAATGCACAAATAACGCGGCTAAAAGTGCAGTAAAAATGCACAAAAACGCAGAAAAAAACTCAAGTCTTGTCGAATATAAAATATATAAGGACAATGAAGGGAAAATGCGGAAAAAATCGCAACAAAAGACGCAGAAAAAATCACAACCTAAGTGTTAATCTATATGAAATATTTAGGGGGAATGCAGGGGAAAATGCAGAAATAGTGGAGTAAAAAAACGAAGAAAGAAAATGCAAAAATAACACCGGACTAAAAGTGCATTTAAATTTCACAAAAACGCAAGACTTGAAGGTATGTGCAATGACATAAGAAAAGGTGGTTTTAGTTTCCTTTCATAACTTGTTGAGACCATTTAATCACAACCCAAGTGTTAATCAATATGAATATGTAGGGGGGATGCAAGGAAAAAAACGCAGCAATAAAGCACCAAAAGTGCAGTAAAAACGTAGAAATAACGCGGCATAAAGTGCAATAAAAACACATAAAAATGCAGGATTCAAAGGCATGTGTAATCACACTCCAAGTCTTAATATATATGAAATATGTAGGGGGGAATTCAGAAAAAAACGCAACAGCTATGCTTAAAAAAGTGTAGTAAAAACGTAGAAAACACTTGATCACAATCAAAGTCTTAATCAATATACCAATATAATTTATGTAGGGAAAAATGCAAGAAAAATGCAGCAATAGTGCATGAAAAGGTCCTGTAAAAAACGGAGCAAAAAGCGCACAAATAAAAGGGTAGTGCGATGAAATAACATGAGCATATTAACAAACACCTAATGTGCTTTTAGAGTCGTTTCATATGAACTTGTGAAGACCATTACACAATTCATATCTTGATTAATATAAAATATGCAAGGAAAACGCAACAAAGAGTGCAAGAGAATGCAACAAAAGTGCAGGTAAAAATGTTGCAAAAAATACAGAACTTCAAGGGAAGAGCATTTAAATAATCTTAATTGACATAATATCGAACACCTGTTGGTCATTTGCAGTTTTCTTTCACAACAATCGAAGTATTAATTAATAAAAAACATGAAGGAAAAAATGTAGCAGAAAGCAGACAACAAAACACATAAAAAGTGAGAGTTTTTTTGGTTTTATAGATTAAAAAGACACAGAAGAATCTCAAGCTCACCTACGTGAAACTCAAACATTACAGTACATTGTAATAACAGGGGAATAACATTTAAGGATGAGAAAATAAAAATGTAATACTTAACTCATTAAGCAAAGGACAAGGTGCAAGGAAGAATGGTGAATAGCACATAAGAACATAATATAACATACCTAAAAGATTTCTGATCAATGGTGTGAGAAGGGGGTAAATGGAAATTGAAATCCCATTATATATCTGACCGAGAGAAAGGTGAAAATCCAACTAAACGTAAAATTCATAATTAATGAATTGATAACAAATGCCACACTTTATGAACGGAGGAGAGGAAGGATTCATGCTCTGAGCTGAAAAAATGTAAAGCTCAACTAGTTGAAGAGATGATATAGCAGATAACTTTAATAGATAGATAGGCGATATAAGTGATTGATGGTGTGTAAATGAACTTAACACCTTCAACTATGAATGGGATGGAGAACTCTAAAATTTGGAAGAGAAATTGTATGAGATACTCCAACAGCACATGGTATAATACCTTATAGCGTAACTAAGCGTAACTTGTAGAACTAAAGAGCATTTAATAAGAAAAAGTGACCTTTATTAAGATAGGTTAAGATATAAAGGTACTAGTATATATCTCATTTATCAAATACTAATCATATCATCGGAGCTCTTGCAAATAAACAGGTAGGCCGTAGGGGCTTGTATCCGTTGTGTGCTAAATTACGCCGTTACGATCGGAAATCCCGTATTTTAAGAAAAGAGCCTTCTTTCCCTATAGATTTGGTCTGTTATGGCACAAGATTTATTGCAAATGTATACATCAGCCGATACATACAAGATTCCTGCAACAAATACAAGTCCAACACTGATGATGCCCGATACATGTTCACACGGTCTTTGTGAAAACCATACTCCAAGCCCGGTAAGCCCACATCCTACAAGATATGCTAAGCTGTGGCCCATATGAATCATACACACAGCTGGTTAGAGTATGCAAGAGCCTAGTGATAAAAAAACATATACTCCACTTCCTATATTACAAACAACTTCTCCCAAATATACGAGTAAAAATGTTCACACGAATACTGTATTTTTATTTCCTAAATAAAAGTAATTGTTGTTAAACTTGAAAAATACTGTCATATTTAAAGTCTGATAATTTTAAAACGTGAGAGTAATATATAATTTTTATTTTAGAAATAAAAACATGTATATTACTTCTATTTTTGAACTCTCAAACATTTTAATCATATTTTGGGAATTTTTCTTAATTATATTATGTATATGTATATCATATTTTGGGAATTTTTCCTTAATTATATTATGTATATGTATATATATAATATAATGCAAGGCTGAAGTTACAATTTATCCTGTGATAAGCACAACATTTTTATGACCATGTAAATCTCAACATTCAATAATTTCAATAAATTCGTACAGCATTGTTCGATTGAATACAAATTTATCAATTCAAACAATGGAAGGTATTGTGATGTGCCTATTTAGAAGTATTTCTTATATAATTGTCATAAGATAAACTAGTCTATGCATTGCCCGGATGAATTTTCCATAAATTAATTTATTTGATAGTTAATGTGTGCATACTCTTTAAATTGAAAATTGAATACATAATAAAAGATTGTGTTAAAAATACATATATGTCATTTCAACAAATACTTAAATCTTTATACAATTAAAAATGAAAATTATTTAGTTTTTTCTTATTATGAATATATGTAATAAAAATTAATATTGAATTATATTTTTATAATATTAGTGATAATTATGATGACTATTATAACAGATATTAAGAAATTTGTGGACCTAAAAGGGAGTTATTAAATGCTAGCTTCATATATACAACACATATTTGTATATTTTGGTTCAAATCCTTTGTGAAGTCTTGGCTATGGATTTGAGAAATCTGTCCAACTTATATACATTTTAAACATATACGTAAGTGAATACGAATATCATTTTTCTTAAACATAAAAAAGAAACGAAGATCATTTTTAAAACTAGTGACAAAAATGAAAGCTGATGCATAAAAGTGTATTCGCGGGATCCAGAAGTGCACCCATATGCAAAACGAAAGATGCATTTTTAATTAAATAAATTGTGCAATGACTGTTTAAAACTAAATAGAGAAAACTATCAAATAAGCCCTCATACTATAACAAAAAAGTCAATTAGACTCGCGTAATTTGAAAACACGCAATTAAATCCTCGAACTTTTGAAAAACGTTCAATTAAGGCTTTAGCGGGTTAACAAATCGGTTTCCCGGTTGACTGCTCGCCTGGCGGCCACATGGCAATTATTTTCTTTTTTTCTTATTTTTCTCCTTTTTGGTTTTCTTTCTTTTCTATCTTTCCTTTTCTTATCTGGTTTTGCGTCGTTTCTCATTTTCATCTTCTCAAGGACCTTACTTCCCGTCGTCACTCCTCTTCCTCTTTGTTTTTCATTTTTTTCTTTCTTGATTTCTCTCTCTTTGTTTCGTTGTCTCTTTTTTCCATTGGCAGAGTGAGGAGAGAGGATTTCTTCACAGGAGAGAGGGTGTCGTCAGGGGCGGCCCTGGGGAGGGCAGCAGGGGCGATGGCCCTTGGCCCAAAAAAAGTGAAAAGAAAATTAGGCCCAATATTTATGTGTTAAAGTAAGATTGAATAGGCCGAGTTTTTGGCCCTATCTGGTATTTTCATCCAGCCAGTTAGGCCGAGTAAGAAGAATAGTAAACAAATTGTCAAAACATGGGAGACTTGTACAAATCTACAATTCTGTTACTCTACTTGTGGTGCATGAGTGCATCGCTCTTAAATCTCCAATCTATGTTTTTTTAAATACTATATTATTAGTTACTCCGTAATAGTTATATGATCATATAACTTTTTACTTTTAATCACCGAATTTAGATTTTTTGTTGTTGATTTACTTATTGATTATTGTCATGTTGAATCGTGAAGTATTGAAATTGTGAATTTGTTCATATTGTTGTTTGATCTTAAGGAAAATCGAAGGAAGAGACACCGGCCATGGTTGACCTTCGGCACTCCATCGTTGATGCGTCCTGGCTGAAGAGCGCATGTCTCCTGGCTGGTCTGCGGATCCACAGTCACACATGCATCTTGGCCGCCCTCGTCGTCCCTGGTTATCGCGATAAGAGAGGTTTAGATCGTCGACTTCAACAAGCTAGGCTTGGGGAATACAGGCATGGCAAACTAGGCGGAGGATAAAAAGAGTTTTGAGCTCCGCGAGAAAGTTGCGTGTCTGCGGTCGTCGAGCTACAACGGACCTGGCGTGACAGTGGGATCTGGAGTTGTGGCAACGAGATCCGGAGCCGTGGCTGTGAGATCTGGATAGCACCCTGGCAGCAACTTCGCGACAGCGAGATCCGGGAATGGGTGGTGAGCAGCGGCAGACCGGCTTCAACCGACTCAACGGCCTGGGTAACGGCGACCTACGGTGACGACGGAAAAAACGGTGCACAGTGATGCGAGCGACGACGGGAAATACAGCAAATGCTCCCATTTGAGATCGGAAGTGCATCCCCTGACCATCTTTCGAACAGATTCAGCGATTGGGTGGACGTGTGAGGTCTGGAGCGACAACAATCAGAACATCGCGGTGAACTCGAACTGGCGCAGCGAGCTTCTGGCGTATGGCGGTGGCAGAAGACGGCAGCTCGGATCTGGGAAAGTCCAGATTTTCTTCTTTTCCATTTTTTCTTGAATTTTCACAACTACTTCCTTGCTGGATTTCTTGTGATTTGGGAGATTTTTTTGGTTGTTTTTGGGAGGTTTTCTCACTTGATGTGTTCAAACCTCTCAACGAGAGCACCATTGTTGGATAATTGATACTCATATCTTATCACTAAGAAGAGATTGAAGAATGATCAAGAAGAGTAATGGAGAAGAAGAATGTGTATAATGTTGAATGAATTGTGAGTTGTATGAGTTGTGTAGCCTCCTAAAGGAGTATATATAGGGAAAATCCGGGTCTGGGTCTCTAATATGGGCTTGACAGACCCGGTTACATAAATGGACTGATAGTACAAACAACTAATCTAGAACATCTGAATAATAATAATAATGTACAATAATATGAATGATATCCGCTAAACGTGTGTGGGTCGCTGTCCAGGCCCAGTAGTCGGCAGACCAGGGGGTCGGAGTCCATATATTCCATCAAATCATATAACTTTTTACTTTTAATCACCGAATTTAGATTTTTTGTTGTTGATTTACTTATTGATTATTGTCATGTTGAATCGTGAAGTATTGAAACTGTGAATTTGTTCATATTGTTGTTTGATCTTAAGTTTCTATATTTTAAATTTGTTGGAGTATTAATTACGGAGTATCATTTTGTCAAATAGTGAAATTGCGAAAGCATTTTAGTTTTTCTAGTTAAAATTGGTTATGAAATTGATTTGTGATTTTGTGATAGTAAAAAATTTCATCCACAATAATTTAAGTTTTTATTAATTTTAAAATGAAAAAAAATTGGACGAATCTAGATGGGATATAGTAAACGGGAGAAAAAGAGTAGAGAATAAATTTACAATTTCCTTTTAAGAAAGTAGGTCTATTATTTATCAGTCGCCCCTAGGCCTTGAAACCGCCGGCACCGGCCCTGGGTGTCGTCACCGAAGTTGCTACCGGATTTCGCCGAAGATTATGGCAAGAACAGCCGCGTTTGTTTTGAACATTCGATTCGGCGGAAGAAGCCGCCTGAGCTTACGACAAAGTCGCCAAGGAATTCTGAGGAACCAAGTAAATTTTTTTCGGTACCGGAAGATCTCAAATTGAGATTCTCAATTTGCAGTTCGATTTGATCCTGAAACAACATGGGTGAATGGCCTCAGTCCGAGCCAGCTCCGTTGACTCTTCCTGTTCACATAGAGGAGAGGAGCCACCCTCGCCGGAGTTGCGTCCGTCTGCGGAGTTCGCCGGAGGTCCCAACAAGAAGAGTCATGTTTGCTAAGGACCTTGGATATGACTCATATGAGGGAGGAAGCCACCTGAGTAAACAATAAAGCCCCAAGGAGGAGGAACCATGTCTCTTGAGGTAGAAGGGGAAGTCGTGGGAACGGGGAAGATGGGGAACGATGGTAAGTCAGGGAAGAGGAGAACCAGGAAAAGAATAGAAAAGAGGAATAGAAAAGAAAAAGGAGAAAATAAAGAAAAAAAAGAATATAATTGCCATGTGACCTGCCACGTGAGCAGTCAACCAGGAAACCGGTTGTTAATTGGCTAAAAACACTCAATCGAACGTTTTTCAAAAGTTTGAGAGTTTAATTGAGTGTTTTCAAAGTACGAGCGTTTAAGTGACTTTTTTTGGTATTGTATGAGGGCTTATTTGATAGTTTTCTAAACTAAATACTACACAATAAGTACACATTTTTTAAGGGAATACTGCACATTTAAGTATAAAAAATGTATTTTTTTAAAACGATCTATTTTATCAATTTGTAAGTGACAGAAACATGAATTTATTCTCACTTATGGTACTGGAAGGTTTTTTATCATCATATGGGGGGCTTCTTTAATTTATACTCCGTATATAAAGACTCCCTCCGACCCGAATTAAGAGGCACTTTACGATTTAAAAAAAAGAATTACATATTCAGAAACTACATGAAAATATACGTACCATAGGCAAACCTGGCCACGTCCCGTGAAGTCAGATAATTTAAGGTGTGAGCTAACAAAAGTTATAACAGGTACAACAGCAGAAAGCACAATAAGAGCTGTCGTCAGTACAATGATATAAAGCAAGTGGCTTGACGTTTCTTCACAATAACCACCTGGTGCCTCCTTCTTTGAATGCTACACATATATACCATGCCATCACATTAAATTAAATAATGGTGCTTTATATCCCACCACACACAAAATCAAAACAAGTAAGGTGATATTTGGATCTGATTCTTAAAACTATTTCTGCTCCTTCAGGAAGCAGAATCAGAAGTTGGAGTGTTTGGATGAAAGTGGTGAAATACCTCTAGTGCTCTAATTTACTCCTAGAAGCAGATTTTTCAGAAGCTGGGGGAGACCAACTTCTAAAGACTGATTCTAATTCTGCTTCTACTTTAAAGAAGAAGCAGAAGTTGAACTAGTTCCAAAGGGTGTTTGATATTCATACTTCTCTTTTTTAAAAGTATAAATCGAATGAGAATGAGATTTTCAAAATCTGATCTTCTACCTCTTCTACAAAACTACTTCCATGAGCAATTTGGAGCAATAATAATAAGTGCTTCAGTAGTCACAATCAACCACTCCAAGTCTCCAATATATGCTTCTTGACTTGTGCTCCTTAAAGGAGCATAAGCAGTCTTAAGAAGTACTCCCTCCGTCTCGAAAAGGTTAGCCAAAATTGACTTTCACGTGGATTAATAAAGTAAAAATTGTGTGGTTGAAATTTGTACGGATCAGAAAGAATTAATTTTAACCACATATTTCTTACTTTAAATAAAAGAGTATATATGAACAACCACCAACATCTAACACCCACTACCGGCATGAGCGGATCCAGGAGAGGGCCAACGTGAATCCGGACCCAACCCAAATTTTAATACTCCCTCCGTTCCTAAATAAACTTCCAATTTTCCTTTTTCGTCTGTTCCAATTAAAACTTCCATTTTCCCTTTTTGGTAAAGAATTTGTGGTTCACAACATTTCTTACACATTTCTCTCTCCTCTGCACAACTCTCCACCACACAATATCCACTATCTTAAACTTTGTGTCAAACCCATTTGGAAGTTAAAATGGGAACGGAGGTAGTAATGTTTTAGGTAGTGTGCATCTATGAACAGGAGTCGTCAGAAGTGTATATGACTATACGTATATAGATAATGAATGATTGAATGTAATGCATTTATATACACATACCCAATACTGCACACCAAAATACATTACGGCCATCTCAATAACTACGATTACACCTCCAAGTACAATTAGAGGGAAACGCATGCCAGAAGCAGGTGTGTTTGATGAAGTTGCCAAGAATTAAAATGGCCGGCGTTGGAGATCTCGAAGTGTTTGCGTACTGTACTTAAAGCTTTGCTATGAGCTGAGAAGTGGTATAGTATAATATTCGCTCTCTAGCTTGCTTTGCTTTGGGATGGTTATGCCAGCCAATTTAGTATATATGCATATAGTTTAGCTTCCCTAAATAAACTTCCAACTTTCTTTTTTCGTTCGTTCCAATTAATACTTTCACTTTACCTTTTTAGTAAAGAATTTGTGGTTCACAATGTTTCTTACTCATTTTTCTTTCCTTTGCACAACTCTTCACCACATAATATTTACTATCTTAAAGTGTGTGACACCCTTTTTGGAGTACTCCTTTTTTTCAATAAACAAAAATATTCTCAAGACCATGCAGTTTTCCAGGAAACGCTTGAACACCTTTAATTTCTTTTAGTCTTGTAATTGCTCCGTAAAATATATCGTTATGATTACTACGATTGCGTGTGTGACTGGCTGACTTAAATATTATGGACCATCATCCGAGCTACGACATTGGTTCAGGTTATTGAATTTTTTTTGTACAACATTTGTTAATCTAAAAGTTTAAGCAATATTTAAATTGTGGTGGGTCAGAGCTAGAGTGGCTCCCCTAAATCTTCCCATGAGCTGGATGGATTAATATACGCGATATTTGACTGGGTAGTTTAGTGCCAAGAATATTACCCGAAATAGGATTAAAAAAAATTGAAAATTCTAAAATAAGACTGTCATGTTTTATTCCCAAAATAAGACTAATTACTGCCATGTTTTGGCATACCAGACTTCAAACATGACAGTATTTTCTAAACCTGGCAGTAATTACTCTTATTTTGGGAATAAAAAATATGACAATCTTATTTTAGAATTTTCAAATTGTTTTAGTCATATTTCGGGAACTTTCCCTTTAGTACCCCGCTTTTCATTTGGCTTTTCAGACCTAGCTTTGAACTTTTGATGTACATAGTTTACAGAAAGCTTTAACTCTTGATGAACCGAATGAATTAAGGTGGGGCCGTGGGGTGAATTGTGTGTGTAGAACTATGACAGTTTTTCATCGGTTGTTATTTCATATCATTAAAAGTTGGTTATCGTAATAGGAATAAGACAGCTAGTCCAAGTTCTTTAAAACGTAAAAAAACATATAAGTGCACATATAAACATAATTACATTTCACATACTAGGAGCATTATTTGTATTAAATATCACAATTACAATCATCTTGAATATTATAAAGAAAACATGTTTCGAACAAACACGAAATTATTAGGGTTACTTTTATAATTATGAAATTTTGTGATGAAACAAAATATGATTTCTAAAAAATGATGTTAATGTATTCATTCTCATCCATTTTCATCAATCAAATTTAAATTGTTGTGTGACTAAATGTCATTGATTATACTATTATTATTATTAATACTATTATTATTATTTGACGGATGGTATACCCGTGGGATACCGTTGGGGAATCTAGAGAGAAGTCAGAACAAGTAAGAGAGAGTGAATATCTATATATTAAATGAGCTCAAGAGTTCGATCTGGGATCCGGGATCCTTTACGATGAAGAAGAGGCTAGCTATTTATAGCAGCCATAAATGCTAGGTGCAATAAGTGAGGGTACGCGTGGCAAGTAACCAGCGATGGAGAGTCAACTCAACTAGACACAACATGTGGCACCGGCATAGCATGTGGCACCGCATTTAATGTGGTGGTTGGACGTGACACCGCATTTAATGCGGTGATTCAGATCATGTGGAGAGGAGATCCTATCGAGGAGAGTGCCCTCGACCACATGTACCCGGGGTCTGCATGTGCCGAAGGCCATGTATGAGCCGAAGGCTACCTGTGCCGAAGGCCGTACGTTCCCGAGGGCGATTTGGGCCTTGGCGGCGTGCTGAGGACGTACGTCCCCTGAACTAGGGGGAAAACGTCACTAGTTGCCCTAAGTTCTCGGAGATGTCTGTATCATCTTTAGCCGACGCTCCTGACATGAGGGTGGCTTCCTTGGTATGGTTTCCCACCAATGGGTGGCGACGATCGTCCCCAGGCATTGGCTGACTAATGTCTCGTGATGTGTTGAAGGACGTACGTCCCCTAGAGCCGTACGTAGCTGGGGAGGACCGTCATGTGTTAGAGGTCATAGCTGGAGCTCTTCATGTGTTAGTGGCCGTACGTACCCAGGGCTCTTCATGTGTTAGAGGCCGTACGTACCCAGGGCCCTTCATGTGTTAGAGGCCGTACCTACCTAAGGCTCTTCATGTGTTTAACGGTCGTACGTTCCTTACACATTGTTGTAGTGTGGCCTGTGCGGAGTCTTGTTTGCTATATTTGGGTCATTTGGGCCTGATTGTAGAAGTGGAAGTATGTGGGTCGGGGGTTCCTGGACAATATACTCCATTAGGAGTCCCCCACTCCCTGAGTTGAGACGTAGACGAAGTGAAAGAGAGTAGATTCCTGTTGTTTTGCTAATTTAGGCCGATGGAGGCACCGCAATTGTTTTTGGTATCTCAGGCCGAGGCAGAACCATCCGTGGAGGTGGATTCTTGCCTTAATGTCCTTTGGTCGTTGTGGCGATGTAGTGGTTATTCTTTGTGCTTGGCCGTTGTGGGGCCTCTGCTTTCATGTTGTGGACGATGGAGGTCCTCACCTTGAGGACGTGCATGCCCTCATGCTTGAGGACGATGAGTGTGTGTAATACTTGAGATTTAATTTAAACGGATTTATAGTACTACTCATACCAACAAGATGCATCTCCTTTTAAGGGAGCTCATCACCTAAGAACTCCAAAGTTAAGCGTGCTTGCATGGGAGTAGTCTTGGGATGGGTGACCCCCTGGGAAGTTTCTCAGGGTGCGCACGAGTGAGGAAAAAGTGCGCGGAAAAGACTAGTGGCGGTTTGTGAGGATAGTACTAAAAGTCTAGAGTGTGTATGAGTAACAACCTTGGGCCGTACGGGGCGGGGTGTTACGGGTGGTATTAGAGCAACCCTGTGACAGTGTGTTGATCCGTTGGATATCGGGCGGGCACTTAGCAGGACAAGATTCTCGGATTTGATTGAGATTGGTTTTAGGGTGCAACGAGGATGTTGCGTTCCTAAGTGGGGGTGATTGTAATACTTGAGATTTAATTTAAACGGATTAATAGTACTACTCATACCAACAAGATGTATCTCCTTTTAAGGGAGCTCATCACCTAAGAACTCCAAAGTTAAGCGTGCTTGCACGAGAGTAGTCTTGGGATGGGTGACCCCCTAGGAAGTTTCTCAGGGCGTGCACGAGTGAGGACAAAGTGCACGGAAAAGGCTAGTGGCGGTTTGTGAGGATAGTACTAAAAGTCCAGAGGTCAGAAGTAACTACCTCGGGTCATGCAGGGCCTGGGTGTTACAAATGGTATCAGAGCAATGCTGCGACAGTGTGCTGATCCGTTGGATATCGGGCATGCACTTAGCAAAGGAAAAGATTCTGGGATATGATTGAGATTGACTTATGGGCTCAATGAGGACGTTGCGTTCCTAAGTGGGGGTGATTGTAATACATGAGATTTAATTCAAATGGATTAATAGTACTACTCATACAAACAAGGTGCACCTCCTTTTAAGGGAGCTCATTAGCCAAGAACTTCAAAGTTAAGCGTGCTTGCACAGGAGTAGTCTTGGGATGGGTGACCCCCTGGGAAGTTTCTCAGGGCGCGCACGAGTGAGGACAAAGTGCGCGGAAAAAGCCAGTGGCGGTTTGTGAGGACAGTATTAAAGGTCTAGAGTAAGTACCTCGGACCATGAGGGGTCGGGGTGTTACAGTGTGATCGTGGTCCATGTCACGCGTGTTGTGGTCAGTGATATGCTAGGGCTCTGAGCTGATACGTGTTCCAAGGTTTCATTAACTTGGAAAATGACGAGGGGTTGTCTTCGCCTTCTGGGTTGAGGACGGTGTGGGTCCTCTTCCTTCGCACTCATCGTAAATGATGAAGTGTCATCATGTTGGTGAGCTTGCCTTCTCTGGTTTAGGCCGGAGGTGATTCACACAATGTGTGGATTGTTGCAATGATGCATTTTCTGGGGATTTGAAATGCGTTGAGGCCGATGCAGTCCCCCCAGTCCCCCACTCCTTCATACCGAAGAGCATGGTAGGTGTGAAGGAGTAAGATATGAGCTAGGCCAAAGCGGAACCGTTAGTTTCCCTCATGAAATCCAACCCCTTGGCGATCCATGATCAAGGTAACCCTATGGGAGAACCCTTGGACGAAGGTCGCGGGTCAGGGGTTATCATTCATGGGTTTTGTATAGTGACCGATGTTTGTTGCTTCTTCCTGATCTGTTGTTGATTCGTTCTTGTGGACGACGAACGTCCCTTGTATTGAGGGCGATGTGTGTCCTATGTTGTAGCCGAAGGTGGACCACACACGCTTCAGGACGTTATGGTGCTGATTGCGGTGTTGCCGGAGGCGTCTGCTTATGTGTGGAGGCCGATACAGTCCCTCAGTCCCCACTCCTTGAGGCACATGAGGTGAAGAGGAGCGGAGTGATGCATGTCTTTATTAGGGGGCCGAGGGTCGACACCTTTTTGTCCACAATGGGGAGATGCCTCGTTAAAAACCTCATTAAGAAAAACCCTGTGGGAAAAAATCCTAATGAGGGAAAAAATAGTACATCGGATGCCCTCAAAATGAAGCAAAAGGGGTGAACCGTTCGTCCTGGGACATCGTCGGCCATATCTGAGCGTTTCACTCTAAGGGGCCAATAAGATGGGAATGAGGCGGTGTCCGTCTGCTGAGGGGACGCTCGTTTGATGATGAGGACGACGACGCTGATGAACCAGTCCGAATATGAGGATGAGGCGGTGGACGCCTGTCTGATCATGAGGACGATGGTGGTGATGAGCCGTGCGTCATATGATGGCGACGGTCGCTA